TCAGACTTGCCACTATCTTCATTCCCAAATTCCACCTTCTGGTTTATAGCATCCTTCCAGTGTTTGCCATTCCATTCTTATATCTACCACCTTATTTTATAACCTAACGTCGATCACTCTTACCCTTAGCCCACCCTCTCACACAGCTGCCAAATCAATTTTCCAGAGACTGATTCTGATCATATTAGGACTCTCTTCAAAAATGTCCAATGACTCTCCATTATTCACTGAGCTACATACAGGTATGTCCTTACAAGCCTCTCCCCAACAAGCCACCAGAGTTCTCATTCGGTTACCTGTTTCTCCAGTGCTTCAAATTCCATAACTTTCATTATATGAAGCAGGGAGCAAATTCTTCGCAGGACCATATCTTCTATCTTGCTGCCTCTATCATGTCGTTCCCTCCTGGTATTTATTTCTTCAGAAATTTCTCTGTAAAATAAAAACATATTCATTTCTTCGACATAATTATTGAGACACAGAGAGAAAGATCAATCTTACATTCACTAATTCTCGCTCCAAGTACACTTAATAGCAAGGCTGGGCAAGGCTGAAGCCTGGAGCTTTGAATTGAGGTGATTCCTATGAAAATAAATGGCTTTCTTTATGCTTCTGATATATAGCAGAATAGCCTAGTTAACAATTCTCTACTAATTCTAATTTATTGAGTAGTTAGTAAATTATAGTGATGTTGTCCTTGCATCTAATCTTCACGCATACATTCTCCTGCACTAGAATTCTCCTCTCCAACTATTGTTTAGTTAAATACCACTTGGCCTGCAGGTCTTGATTTTCTCATTGATTCCAAGAAGACTTCCATAGTTGCATATCTGGCTTCATGAATATACAACCCTGTGAGGCTGCATAAAGGTCCACATTTAGAAAATCGTCACACAAATTCAATCCTTTTGGCATCATCTTGATATTATAAATATTTCTTAACAAAAGGCCAGGGCCCGGCATGATAGCACAGTGGTTAAGGTCCTCGCCTAGCACGCCCGGAATCCCATATGGGCACCGGTTCTAATCCCGGCAGCCCCGCTTTCCTTCCAGCTCCCTGCTTGTGGCCCAGGAGAGCACCCTGCACCCGCATGGGAGACCCGGAAGAGGCTCCTGGCTTCAGATCGGCATAGCATCGGCCTTTGTGCTCACTTGGGGAGTGAATCATCGGACGGAAGATCTTCCTCTCTGTCTCTCCTCTCTGTATATCTGCCTTTCCAATAAAAATAAAATAAATCTTTAAAAAAAATACAAAAGGCCAAACATTGTTTTTGAAAATATATTTATCTTATTTGCAAAACAGACTTACAGAGGGAAGGGAGAGACAGAAAGAAAGATCTTCCGTCCACTGGTTCACTCCCCAAATAGCCACAATGGCTAGAGCTGATCTAATCCAAAGCCAGAAACCACGAGCTTTTTCAGGTCTTCTATGTAGGTACAGCAGCCCAGTGATTTGGGCCATCTTCTGCTGCTTTCTCAGACCATAAGCAGGGAGCTGGATTAGAAGTAGAGCAATAGGCACAAATGGCACCCTTATGGCAATGTGGGCAATTACAGGTGGAAAAATTGCCTGTTGAGCCACATGGTTGCCCCATGGCCCCACATTTGCATTTAGTACTATGATGTACAAATTCAAACACCAGTCTTATATAATTCCTCCTGTTCTGTGTGCCCCTGTATTTTCCCAATCATTGCAATTATTCTCACAATTTTAGTTTTCAGTTTATATCTTTACTGTCAGAAATATCTCTATAGACTTTGAGCTGTGATCTTCTTTATTGTTATATCTCCATGGCACAGCCTAGCTTTTATGTTGAACATTTATTGGTTGGATAAATGGGTGACTGATTGGATGGATGAAAGAATTACTGAATGAATAAAGGAGCAAATTAATTCATGTATTCGAATATCAGTGCAAAGCAATAGAAACCTTTGACTTCTGCTTTACAGATGGACCTTGGTAGCCATGACAGAATGTTGATAAGAAACTACTAATGTTACAAAGGAGTGTAATGTTAGCTCAGAGAAGAGAATTGAAAAAGTAGTTGATATGGGGGAAAGGGTTTAAGCAGCATACAAATATTAATGAAGGAGTTAATCTCTGTTTTGAACACAGAGATCATTGGAATACACTTGATAAAATAAGTTATCATTAATATTAAATAGTCCCCTGTTCAAGTTCTCTAATATTTTGATGGATCTGGTCTCAGGAAAAAAGAGTGAGGGACATAACCAGGTAACCCTCACAGGAGGAGAACATGTCTCACTATCCTTAATTGATACTGTATTAACATTCCAAATACCTTAGTGACCTCTGAATTTCATTTTCTCACTCATATCGGCTGGTACTCCAGTTTTTGCCTACTACTTCACAATTTCAAGTATGTTTGCCCTCATTTAAAGTATAATCCAAAGCATTCTGAACCATTAATACTTAAATTGGAAGTATGATAAATTGTTAAAGCATTGAGCACAGGAATTTTTTTTTTTTTTGCATGAAGAGATTCCTTCCCCTTGGACACTTATACTGGAAAGCAACTAACTCTATCTAACTTTCAGAAGGTAGAGGAATTACCTCAAATATCTTGCTAATCCAAGAATGTTAATACCATTTTTATTTTTGCATGCTCAATCAGTAACACTGTGTGGAAGTCAACTGCACAATGCTTGAATTCTTTCTCCTAGATAGCCTTCCATGAGTTACCAAATATGGTTCTCAGTTTTCATGTCTGTAAGACGGTGAGGATGCTGTCAGAAAATTCATGTGAATGGGATTTACCATCTTGTCTAGCTTATAAGAAGCCCTTTGGGAATGTTAGTAATTATTGACATGTAGCACATGAGCAACCAGAAGCTTTCACTCCAGTTCTTCTGTGTTAGGATAGAAAGGAAGATATTACATCAAAGAGGCATTGTCAGGGCTAAAAATATTTTTTACTCTGAAGATCCAAATAGCAGATTTTGTGATGTTGGCCATCCTACCTTGTTGCATCTCTTCAGTTCTGCACAAAAGCAGCCATACACCGCACATAAATGAAAGGACATGGCAATATATCAACAAAAACTCTTATCAAAAAATAGGAATGAGGAATCACATTTTTTTTTACAAATATAGCAATTAGCCAATATCTAGCTTTAGGCCCTGCAGAACTTCTAGTCAAGTGTGGTAGAAACATCTGCAAGATTTTTGCAAGCAAACCAAGAAGAGGCAAAGGTTAATTCCATTGTGATAAGGAAAAATTATCGAAACTCATTTTTTTCAGAACTTATTGTATACATTTCTAAGAGATGAGTAGAAGTAAAAATTGTGATCAACAGTAAATAGTTCAGAGTTTTCCTTGTTTTCTAATCTTGCCTTTAAAAAAAGACATTTGTTTGTTTATTTGAAAGTCAGATTGGGAGAGATTGAGATCGTGAATCTGCTGGCTCATACACATATGGCTGTATTGACAAGAGCCAGGAGCTTCATCCAGGTCTCCCAGGTGGGTGCAAAGGACTAGCCACTTGTGCTGTCTCCACTGCTTTTCTCAGGCCATTAACATGGAGCTGGGGCCAGTGCGATGGCCTAGACGCTAAAGTCCACACCTTGAAAGTGCCGGGATCCCATATGGGTGCCAGTTCTAATCCCAGCAGCTCCACTTCCTATTCAGCTCCCTGTCTGTGGCTTGGGAAAGCAGTGGATGACAGGCCAAAGCCTTGGGACCCTGCACCCATGTGGGAGACCTAGAGGAAGTTCCTGGTTCCGGGCTTCGGATTGGCACAGCACCGGCCGTTGAGTGAATCAGTGGGTGGAAAATCTTCCTCTCTGTTTCTCCTCCTTTCTGTGTATCTGACTTTGCAATAAAAATAAATACATCTTTTAAAAAAAATGGAGCTGGATTGGAAGGGGAGCTATAAGACCCAAACCGTGCCTATAGGGGATGGCAGTGTTTCAGGTGGCAGCTTTGCTAGCTAAGCCACAGTGCCATTTCTTCTAGGAGAGAAGTTCTTAAAGCATTTTGGAAAACTGTTGTTTAAATAAATATGTAAATATGCTAGTACACAAAATTTCAATTGATTGAAAAGATGATTCCCAGTGAGGTTATTTCCTACAGTCTTTTTATTCATTTTTATATGTAAAGTAGACAAATTACATGTATTTCACAATAAGATTTTGTAGCTTAGAGTACTTCCCAACCTACCTTCCCTCTTGCCCACATCCCCTACCCTCCCCCCTTATTCCTTATTTCGTTTTTTTTCATAATTTTTACAATAGCATATTTTCATTTCACTTTGCATTTTAATAGAAGTAAATTTGTCTTCCCTTTTATTAGGTATTTTCCATGGTAACTTACCAGCCCACTTGATTGGAGTTCCATATTCCTGGGATAAAAAAGTGTCTGCACATAGCTCCTGACTTGCACTCCCTATCATTGTGTTCTGAATAGTAGTTTTATTGAAAAGTAGTGGAAAGTGCATGGGCAACTGGGAAAATCATCCTCTCCCTCTTCTAGTCTCATTATTAACATAAGGAGGGACAAATAAAACTCCTTGAGCATTAACAGATTCTGAAAAATGAGCCAATGGTAACAACAGTGTAGAGCTCTAGATGGTTTACCAGTGCTGTCCAATGTGAGGCAGATTCTGTTTGAAAAGAGAGTGAGTTCAGCCCATCCTGCCCAACAAGCAGAGTGGGAACATACTTTCTGAGCATTTTTCTCAAGACCCTTGCTTGGGAAAAGGATTTGATAGGAATTGATGGATTCTTGAATGTGAACGTAAAATACAGAATAACATTCACATACACCCACAAAAGAAACATTGTCTTCATCAAGAAACTTCCAAATGAGCTCCATTTGCCTTGCGTAACATATCGTATTTTGCTGCTGAAAATGACTTTAGTGTTTTAGCCTATGCCCATCCTAATGAGCTTGGTGCTTTATTCATTTTAAATAAATGAAACTAGTAATCTTAAGATAAAATTCTTATTAAATTTCTCTTTTCTTATTGCTGTTTTACAGTTTTCTCCTTGTGTTTGGTTGCCTGATTTTGTCAGTGTTTTCTACCATCCCTGAGCACACAAAGTTGGCCTCGAGTTGTCTCCTGATTCTGGTAAGTAAAACGAGTGAACTAGAAAGTGTGTAAAGTTTGTGTGAGAACTGTCTGTTGCACTCATGTAATGCAAGTTTATCCCACAGAAAGTTCTATATAGAAAAAGAGTGCTTTTGTGAAATGTGTAAATTTTTTAAAAATCATCAAAATATTTGGTCAACAATTTAATGCTCAGCTGATATTCAAGAATATATAGAAACATTCAGCATTGCTATCACATGCTAATATGTTATATTGTAGATGCATGATAAATAAGAGGAAATATTTGTGAGCAGTTTTAATTACATTTATTATGCTGGCAACCGAATTAGGAAAAGAATCGGTATGTACGAGGTCTCTCATTTTATTGCTGAAGGCTACAGGGTAGAAAGTATTTTCCAAAAGCTGCAATTTGGCAGTAGTTAAGTATAATTGGCCAAAAACTATGAGAATATGGCACCTCATAAGAAAACAGAAGTCTCCTCGTGCTCTTTTCAACCAACAGATTGTATTCTGAGTTTTGCTGCTAATGCACTTACCTGGTGAGAAATTGTACAGTTTGCTCTGTTTCCATTATGCTGTCAATCTTCCACCAAACAGAATTGCTCAATTCACTCTAAGATGGAAAAAAGACCCAAGATATTTTAGACTGAATTATCCTGGGCCTTTTAAGCTCTTTTATATTGTGTTACAACCAAACTACAGCACTGTAGACTCAAATCACATCTACTTGAAAGTTTGCTTCATTATATTCATTTCTACTTATTTACTTAGTTCAAGATGATCAGACTTGACAATCCCAGAACTGTCTAAATGAACTATGAACTGGAACAACTTACTACTATAAAGCCTAGTGAAATACAGAGAAAGGGAGAGAAGAAGTAACAGGGTTTTTTATGAGCCCTAATAAACAGAGATTGGTTATGTGCAGTAATAAGCATTTAACACTAAAAAGTTTTTATTAACAAGCAGATGGAAGCTGGAAGATTTCAATTCATGTAACCTGAAAAAATGGCAGATGCTTGTTCTATATTTTCTTTTTTTTAAAGATTTATTTTTTATTATTTTGTTTATTGGAAAGGCGGATATACAGAGAGGAGAGACAGAGAGGAAGATCTTCCATCCAATGATTCACTCCCCAAGTGAGCGCAAGGGTCCATACTATGCCGGTCCGAAGCCAGGAGCCTCTTCCGGGTCTCCCACGCGGGTGCAGGGTCCCAAAGCTTTGGGCCATCCTCGACTGCTTTCCCGGGCCACAGGCAGGGAGCTGGAAGGGAAGCAGGGCCGCCGGGCTAGAACTGGTGCCCATATGGGATCCCGGGTGTGCAAGGCGAGGACCTTAACCACTTGCGCCACCGCGCCGGGCCCTATGTTTTCTTTTAGATGGCCAGTTTGTGATTGAGTTTGCCTATTGTATCTCAGTCCAACATTAAGAAGAAACCACTGTTGAGTCTGGAACACATCTATTTCCACTTCTTTCCATGCATGCTGCACTTGGCATTATATAATTCTAATATTAAGGCCACAGTTTCAAACCCCAAGATAAGGAACAGAAAGGCACAAAAATGTATTGGGCATCTATTCTATTTAGAAGATTTCCGCTTGGATAGTAAGTGAGCTTTTAGCAGTGTCTACCTCTTTGATTGTTACAAATGATGTAAGACACAGCTTGCGCTTAGGTCCACATATGAAACTATAACTGGGAGGGGTGGAGGGCAGGCAGTGCAGTAGCCTAGGGGCTAAAGTCCTCTCCTTGCTTGCCTGGGATCCCATATGGGCACCAGTTCATATCCCAGCTGTTCTGCTTCCCATCCAGCTCCCTGCTTGTGGCCCTGGAAATCAGTAGAGGATGGCCCAAAGCCTTGGGACCCCGCACCTGTGTGGGAGACCCGAGGAAAGATCCTGGCTCCTGGCTTTGGATTGGCTCAGCTGTGGTCATTGGGACCGCTTGGGAAGTGACCCAGTGGGTGGAAGATTTTTTTTTAATCTCTGTATCTCATCCTTGCTGTAAATCTGACTTTCCAATAAAAATAAATATTTTTTAAAAAAGCATGAGGACTGAGGCAGGATCTCAGGTTAAAAAAACAAAACAAAACCTGTATTAAAATTTTAGATTGAGAATATGATTATGATCTTTAGAAATGAGAACGTGAAATTCTGGATCCACTGTGTGATCTATGATATGCATTGAGAACAAATCAACCAATAAAAATTCTCCATACAAGTTTCTTTCTTAACTAATTCAAGAATGCAAGTGGTTGGCTTCCATCTACCAAACCTGAAGCATGAATTTTGTCCTTGCTAGTAAGTTTCTAAAAACTCAAATGAAACCCATGTAAAAATGAAGTCTAAAAGTGTGTATTTTCTTGACTTTGAAAAGCCATTGAGCAGTGAACAACTGGCTAGACATTAGTGACTATAATGTATTTTATTACATAAAAATGTAGACATTGTATTTTTTTGCATTTGGATCTGGCAAAATAGAGAGGAAATCCCCTGCACAGTAAGGCATCTGTTTTGAATATTACAGCTAGTGCAACAGATGGATATTCTCACAAAAGTGCTTCCACAGTTTTCCCATAATGAGAGATCATGTTAATTTTCCTTTTTTCGCTCCAGAGGTGTATACTGTCGATGTGTTCGTGTATGTGTGTGTTATAAGCTAACTAGAAATATGTATAACTATGATTTACAGATGTAATTCTTCACCAATGTTTTCTTTGAAAAATTTACCATAACAAAAAATGAACATAGTCTGTGCTTTTCATACTTTTCAGCTCACAATTGGTAATTAGAAAAGCCTGTATAATTCCTTTTAACAATTTAGAGACAGAATACACCATAAACATTTAATAATTTGCAGAAAAAACTATGAGAGTTCCTAGTGGTTTGGAGAATCTCTTATTTTCTTTTAATATGTATGTGTGAGATAATCTGATTTTGAAATAGATCTAGCCTCTGAACACAGTTCTGGCCAGTGATACATTTAAGTACTAAGATGAAACATAAAGGTTTTCAAAACATGAAATTGTGCAGTTAAGTCACACTTTTCAAGTATGAGATCAGAGGAGTAAATTTAAAATTATATAAAGATCATATATTATACAGTTATCCTTTTTCATAACCCTGTCCTTTTTTTGCTTTTTTAATGTCTTAAAACATGATCATGGGTTGAGCCATTTAAAAAATATTAACTTTTTTCTGTGCACGTAAAAGGCACCCTCAGTTCGAACAAAGAGCACAGGAAAACTGAGCTCACAGACAGATTTCCCAGAATTCTCCTTGACATGCTCTGTCCCAAGCAATTGTTTCCTGGAGTACACTGGTTTATTGGGTGCTGGCCATTGCTTTGCACTTGGTCTTCTCCATCTCCTGGTGCCTCCAGAAAGATTGCAGCTCTCTGCCCCACACCACAAGAAAACATCATCAGTCTCATCCAAAATTGACTTTCCAGCATGACTTCTAAACTTTTAGCTTTTAAACTTTCCACAATTACAAATTAAATGAATACCTGTGTTAATTTGCTTGTTTATTCTTTTCAGTTGTAAAATAGTTGTAAAATAGATTTGATTCTATGTACAGGATTCCCTTATTTTTTGCCAGCCTGGCATAGTGAGTTCTAATTCCGCTATCACTTTTGAGCTGGTGCTTTGGAAATTCTCTTTGTTCCTTGGTTTTTCCCTCCGCTAAAGTTATAGTGGGGTTTTTCCTCCTTTGAAGCCCCCTCCTGTCACTATGGCAGGACATTGCTCTTTCTCTGTTAGTTAAATCTCTCTGTGCACACTTTAAAAAATGTAAGATTCTGGAAAGGTGAAAGAGTAGAAAGCATCAGGAGTCTGTCTCCACACCTAGACACCAATTGCTCTGGCAGAAAATGATGGAACTATTTTGGAACTCTGGAATCTATTAAGTACTGGCAACTTGGAGGGGAAGGTTTGGACCATAAATTGCAGTTAATTTTGATCCATTTCAGCACTTAGCACAGTAGCAGCTACTAATCCTCCACCCACAGCCCCATGGCAGGCAGCTGTGCAAGTGTTCCGGAAGCAAGCTACACAAACCAAGGTTGCAAAAAGGATCTTGTTCCCTAGTCTTCTGAGACTTTGCTCAGGTGGTTGCTGCTGCTGATCACAGAGGTGCAGACCAAAAGATTGGCCACTGTTGCTTCAATTCGCCGTCATTGCAAGGCTCTTTTCCTCTGGCTTAATTGACTTCCAGGAAATTTAAGGGACTCTCTCTTAGTGTTTCATTTTTTGTTTTCCCCTTTTTTGGATGCAATACATATAAATACAATTTTGTCACAACAATAATTGGAACTGGTAGTGATGGAAATGTAAATTAGTTTTGTATGCTACTAAAGTCAAGCTGATATTAATTCTAATTAGAGTGCAGTAACTTTAGGATGTTAATGTAATCCCCCATGACTACCACAAATAAAATAGCTACAGAATATATTTAAAAGGAAATGGAAAAAATAATTTAAACATAGAAAACAAATAGCAAAAAAAACAAAAATCTCTCTTTATCAGTAATTACTTTAAGTGTAAGTTTATTAAAACCTATAATCAAAACTCAGGGTTTGGCAGAACAGATAAAAATAAAAATACAACTACATGCTGACTGCAATTGACAATTTAGATTATAGACATAAAGAGATTAGGATTTGAAAGGATGAAGAAAGATATTTTATAATAAAGACAGCAGGAATGACTACACCAATATCAGACTAAACATTCTTTAAATTTAAAAGTTTATGATTTCCACAAAGACATTATATATTAAAAGCTTTAACAGAGTAAAATGATAACATTTAGGCACCTGGTAATGGACCTTCAAAGAATTTGAAGCAAAAACTGACAGAATTGAAAGGAAATATGAATAGTTCTACAACATTTGGATATTTCACTACCCAATCCTAATAATGCGTAAAAGAATGAGACAGCAAGAAATAGAAGATCCAAACACCAAGTTCTGACTGCAGGATGTGAGCAAAACTCCAGCCTTTTAAAACTTATGTGACA